TTGTACTCTAGGGTAGAACTGGATAAACAAGTTCTGGAATATGTGGGAATTGTGTATAAAGTATATGTAGGCTTTTTCAAATGGATTTTTCTTGTCAATGTTATTTATTAAACTGAAAAAAATGAGCGTTTTTAAACAATGTTGGTTAAAAATAAATTGCGGTCAGATAGTTTAGCTTAAACCGTGCAGCCTCCTCCCAGTCCGTACGTCTCAGTTACTGTCAGTCTGTAGAATGAGACGTGAATTCGCTCTTGTCTTGGTGGTATTGAGTGCTTTCAAAATGCAGACCGTCTCCTGGGTTCGTTTAGCTCCTGGTGCCGGCACTTTGTCAATAGATTGTTATCAGAGGGTTGAGAAGACTGTCTCTCTGTGCGTTTAACATTAATAGACTTGTGTTGCATAAGGTGATGCAAAATATGCTCAAATATGATGCAAATGAAGCTTTGGCCGAGTTCAGTCGTTGCTCGACAGAAACCCAGAGTCTTGGACACGGACAGTGCTGTAGGTCTTCATGTTTGTGTGTGTGACATCATTCTTTTGACAGAAACCAAGTTGACTTCTTTGCTCGTATGAATTTGCATAATTGTGGCGTTTGTAATATTCCAAGTACAATTACAAGCCAATGTTCTCTGGTAGATGTATTTACTTTATAAATACAGATTACTTACTTAATTACTATAGCTGCACAATGATGTCATAATATAAATGCGGTTTACAAAGTCTAATGAGTTAAAAAAGTTGAATATTGGTAACTCCCACTGATGACTGCTGTCGTTGTGTCCTTGGGCAAGACACTTAACCCCACTTTTCCTGAAGCCCCCACTGAAAGATCTCAGCTCCTGTGGACTCAGCACCTGCAGGAGGATCAGTGAGGGGCTGGTGCTATGGGTGCAGCTCTGACTGCCACCCCCCCAACCCAGAAATGGATTAAGGGGAAGAAAATGGATGGATGGATGGATATTGTAGTAAAAATAACCACTTCAAGAGAGTTCGATTTATTGATGAACTAAAACACAATTCTCACACATTTGAGAAAAAGTTTATAATAATAAGAATGCAAGTGTTTTATGTAACGCATTATTGGACACTCTGACTCCATACACAGCTGTGATGAACTACTGTAGCCACAGCTGCCTAGCATCTTGTCTAGAACTGAAATCATTGCCAGCTCTGCTATTTGCTAATTTATTTATTTAACCCTTGTATTATGTTAAGGGTCAATTTGACCCATTTCAGTTTTTGAGTTGATCAAAGTACTGGTTATCCTTTTTTTTTCTTGCTGAAATTTGGTGACTTTTCCTCATCTAGGGTCATGAACTGGTGTGTAAAATCTGGACACTTTGATGTGTAGTGGAATGTCTGTGCAGAGTTTGCATACAAAGATGATGTTGCGGGTCATTTTGACCCAGACGCTTTAATGTGGGTAAATAGTTGTTCAGATCCAAAAAAACATGTCTCTTTGACATTGTACTTTGATTGCCTCTAAGACCCAGAGCCAGGTGTGTGAAGAGAGGGAACTTTCTCACACTTGTCCTTGTCACTGTTCTCATGTCATCTCTTTTGCCTAGCATACATCGGACTGGCACCTGATTATATCCGTCGCATATGAGTTGCTGCCCCGCACACATCGACAATCTGGCGTAAACGGGCAACTCCTGTATCAGGCCAGTCTCGGGAATCACAGGAATAATAGTTGACCGCAACTGGCCTCAACTACAGTGTGTTTTCTGACATAAACTGTGGAGGGCGTAATACACACATGTTGTTGGAGCACATCGGGTCATATCTCCGGATCTGAGGACAGCTAGTTGCCGAAAAGTAGAACACGGGCAACTGACTGAAACCGGAGATCAACTGTTTATCTCCAGTTGTAAGAGCGCTCACACCGACCGATTTCGGCAACTGATCATCTCCATCATCTACTTTCAGTTGCCAAAAGCCGCCTTGCAACTAGTTGTCTCCAGTTACTCTGTCGATGTGCGCTAGGCTTTAGACAAACTCACCAAAATGAGCTTCAGAAGGATGACATCTGAGGAGGCTTTATCAAAGATTTTTAACTGGGATAATGATGTAGAGGAAGAGACTTCAGAAACAGAGGATTTTTCAGAGACAGAGGACAATGTTATTGCTGATCCAGATTGTCAATTTTCCTACGATAAGGAGGATTCAAAGGACGAATCTTTGGTCAAGGAAAGAGGAAGGGAGGACGGACGGAAGATAGGAAGGAAAGAAGGGAGGAAGAGAAAAGAAGGGAATAGATGAGGATAAACAGAGAGAAGGAAAACAGGATGAGAAAAAGGAAGGAGAAAGCATGGCAGGAGGAAAGAATTGTCATTTTGACCCGAGAGGAGGACAAGAGGATTAGACCAAAAATTTCTTAAATATAGCGTTGGAATTAAAAATGTATTGTATGTCACTTTTCTAAATATTTATATAACCTAAAATAAAGTTGTTATTGGTTTAACCTGTTTTCTTGACTGTTTTGAGTGCATTTACACAGTACGGGTCAAAATGACCCGCAACATAATCAATGTCATTTTTTTTTCAACATAATACAAGGGTTAATGTTATTATTTATTTGAGATGGACACAACAGTTATATTGGACCAGATGCACTGCCTTTAAGGTGATAGTAAGTAGATCGTGCAGCCCCTAAGTTATTTACTGTTATTATCATGTATTTACTGTTATTATCATGTATTTACTGTTATTATCATGTATTTAATGTTATCATCATAACACTTCAGTGCACTACAGCAGCAGCTGTGCCCTGAAGGCTCCGGTCAGCAAACTCTCTCTGTCTCATAAAAGAACGACCACAGGAGCAGAGTCTGCACTGCACCAGTGTCCGGGGAAAAGGACATTATATTTCTGCACTATATCACAATATATAACAGTACTTTACACTTGCATCTATATTATTTTTTACTTAATTTCTGCTTCTTATTACAGATTATAGAATGCTTCCTTATTATGCTAGAGATTATATTTCATGTCATGTTATTTAGTATAGCAGATGTCTCCAACCTTTTTCACTTAGAGAGCTACTTTCCCGGGACGATAAAGGCAGAGAGCTACTCCCTTAAACAGCAATAGGAAAAATGTGGTGATAAATTGGTGAGAACGAGTCTGATATTGGGTACAGACAGTCAGTATATATCATTGCATATATGTTACTAGTGACAAAGTAAGTGCATTTACAATAATAAATAATGATAATGAAGAACACAATTTGAAATATTAAGTATATTATTTGATTTGTTCATTTTTAAACCCTTTGGCGAGCTACAGGTTGGAGATCCCTGTAGTATAGAGTTTAGTAAAGAGCTGTGTTCATTTAACTTGTGCTGTATCCTCATCCCTACTGTTCTGTAACCGGTGATGCAACACTGAAATTTCCCCACTGTGGGACGAATAAAGCAACTCTTCATCTCAATCTTAATCTTGAAATGGCCTCAATTAAAAAGTGCTGAGCTGTATCTATCTCTGTATCAGCATCAATTCAATGTATTTTTGTATAGCCCTAAATCACAGCCGTAGCTATCGCGGAGGACTTTACAAAACCAATTTGCCGACACAGATCAGAGAATCAAACAGTTTAAACGCAAGAAATGCAATGATTTAAAAAAAAAAAAGAGTCATTAGTCTATAAGGGGCGAATGCAAAATGTTCATAAACGTTTATAAATGTCAAGTATACAACAGTCGACTTATATCTAAAGCCTAGAAATGATTTGTTTTGTTGTTTTCTCTTGTCCTCTCAAATTGGCTGCAACATGAGGTTTTTGCAATTTGTGAGAGACTGTGTGTTCCCTTCAAACATGCAGCGGCACTTTAAAACCGGCACTTTAGAACAAGCTGAAATAGAGTCTGAAATAGAGAAGTGCGGTTCACGTTTCCACTTTCTCCTGAGTGTCGTGCATGTATTATTTGTGGCTTGTTAAAGTGTTAAGCGGTGGACCCGGAGACTGCTGCGATGAGAGACCGCAGAGCCCTGAGCTGGAATCGTTAAAGCTCGGGTATAGCTAACTTTATTGTTTCATAAATAGTACATGTTTGTCGCAACAGAAAGTCTTGCGAAAGTGAAAGTTTGAGAATGAAACAAGCCCACAACATGCTGTCTTTGTCTATTTAGATGTTTTTATTTTTTTATCTTTTGCGTTAGTGACTCTGCGAGCTCCTGATTGACACTTTGGGTTGAGAGCTGATTGGCCGAGTGAGGGGGGTCCTATATTTTTCCCTTTTCTGTTTGAAAAAGCTGGTCTAAAGATGTGACGGAGACCAAATTTCAGGCATGTGAAAACTGGTGATAGAAGCGAACTGTTATGAGCGCGAGGAACAACTTTGATAGATTTTATTATTGTGTTGGAAAATTAGGTACCCCAGCTTTAATAAACAATTGCTTCTCAGTCTAGTGTGTGTGTGTGTGTGTGTGTGTGCGACTGCCATTGTTGGATTGGCTTTTGCGTGTGGTATACCTGCACGTGAAAGCCAGATCCCGTCAGACCTTTGAAGTTAAGCAGGGCAGGGCCTGGTTAGTGCTGTGATGGGAGACCTCTGGGAACAGGTGCTGCAGCTGTAAAGTGTAAATGTTGTGGTGTCTTAAGCCAAACCCCTTCACCCACATGGCCTAGAACGAGTCTGGTGTGTGTGTGTGGATAGTTGGTGGTGGTGGTGGTGGTGAAGGGAGGGGCTGATTGCACATACTGGTTGCCTTGATTCTGTCAGTGTGCCTCAGGGCAGATGTAGCAACAGTAGTAATTTATCTCTACTGTGTATGGAGTGAAATATTGTGAATAATAATGTGACATGTGAAGTGTCTTTGAGTGTCCAAAAAGCACTGTATAAAACCAATCTATTATTTTTATTATTTTCATTCTGTCAGTTTCAAATGGAGTGACACTGAATAGATCCGTGTAAAAGTCCTTATATCATACCTGTGCATTGTCCTTGTTCTTACATGAGTGCTCTGAGTCTGACGGTGCCTCTCTCCCCCCACAGCGAGCCTCAGTCTGGGCCCGTGGGCATGGTTTTGGAGGGGAGCTCAGAGGCGCTGTGTCCCCCACCATCACTGGAGCTGCGTCCGTCCTGCAACAAGAGCCAGGCCTCACCTCCTCTGGGGTGCAGCTCCCAGCCCCACGACGCGGTCTTCTCTGAGGACAAGGAGCCCGTCAAGTACGGAGAGCTCATCGTCTTAGGGTAAGAGAACTCCCCCTCCCTCGGTCACATCATCCATAACCTGCACGTTTAAATACCTATTGTGTGTGCTTATATATGTTGTAGAAATGTTATTAAGATTTTTGTATTCATGCCTTTCATCTTTTTTTCTCTTATCTATCTTGTTTGCACCATGAGCCAAAGCAAAAATTCCTATAGTTTGTGACTTCCTGTTACTTACATTGGCGATAAAAAAGATTCTGATACATGTTTTACTTCTATTTTATTTAAACATAAGGCTGGCAAATTTGCATAATTTAAATGTATTGATTTTATCTCTGTGCAGCATTTTGGAAACATGTTTTAAAAAATGTGCTATATAGATAAAGTGGATTGGATTGGATGCATGTTCAACACAAAGAGAAGCAGGGGAGAGATACTGGTCATGTCTGTAGTCGTCTGGAGTAATTTTATATATTTACGTTTTTCAATCTAATGCAATACACAAAGACGTGTGCGGGGTGTAGGGGACATAGACAGATTTTTCTTCATATTTATACACGTTGGTCATCCGCTCCCTGTGGACCAACTCTGATGTGTTTAATCATTGAATTACTTGTGTTTTAGCCTGGTCGTACCACACCTTAGTACAAATTACATTTCGTACTAAGGTCTGGAGGTGCTCCATTGAGCTCCGTTTACAGGTTGGATTGGTTAACTCCTTTTGTAGATTGAAACGATTGGATCTGAGTTTACCGTGACGTATGTAGTGCGCCCGAGTGTGTCGTTAGCATTTAGCATTTAGCCTAGCCATCATCTTTGCCGCTAACGGAGCCCGTGGGGAGTAGTGCCACAATTTTTTCCAGCAAATACATTTGCTAAACATTCCTCTTGCTCCAGATTCAATTTCTTGATAGAACCAGACCGGATTACTTTACTATCACATTTTTTGCCATTGCCAAACTATAACCTGCCCGTTCGACGCAAACTCTTGACATCACCCACCTCCCACGCTCGCTGATTTGTCGGTCGAAATTCAACCGATTGTAATCGCTAACACAGGGACCAGACCCAGACTTTTCATGCAGTGAAATGATGATTGAACGTAGTGTACGGATGGATAAGGCCATGCAACTTGTGTTTGAACTGTTTGATTCTCTGATCTGTTGTTGGCGAATCGACAACCTTGAAAAGTCCTTAAGTCGGCCGCTGTTCTGATTGAGGGATATAACATTTCACATTGTAGAACGACAAAATGACAAAGAACTTAGTGTTCGGCTGCCAGAGTTTTTCATAAATATGATGTAAAAGAGACAGAAAGCAGAGCCCTGAAAATATAGATAGGGAACTTTCTGAAATCAAGAAAAAAATGAAATGAAATTGAACTATATGAAAGCATTTCAGAGAAGCCAGGTTGCTCTGTATGTTTATGTATTTATTTGTTTTTGCTATGTTTTTTGGGGGATTTTAACATTTAGTTTGGCAGACGTGCGAGGGAATGTAGCGTTAATACACCAATACACTTTGCAAACTGCTCGTCGTAACACGTGCTATACAGATAAACTGGATGGGATCGTCTGCAGGAGCAAACGCAGAGGGAAGACACACATTTTGCAGACGCAGATTTGACTCCAGGCGACACCGTGATTATCTTCCAGGCTCTAAACTGCTTCCAGGGAGTCGGATAAAAGATGGAGAGCTGCGAGCAAAACCCTGCCGCACGCATTTCCACTGCTGCTAACAGTTTGAGCGGAAATCCTTCAGCGGCCAAAGACAAAATGTTCAGAGATATTTGAGAAACACACAGCACTAAATGTCCCCTCGTCCTGCAGACGCACACACAACAAAAAGACCTGTTTTATCGGATCACACTTGTACCAGAAATGTGTTCAGGTTTCAGAGTTTTTTTGCCGAGACCTTGCCGTGACTCGACAACAGAAACCGAAAACATCCTGTGTTTATTTATGGATAACAAGCTTCGTGTTTCATGCAATTAGTATTTTTTGCATTCGAAAGATGGCCGCTGCAGAATGAATTAGATAGAACAGAATGTGCTGGTGTTTGTACAGACCACTGCTTTTGGATTTTGATTATGTTGTTGTTAAAATGGTTGTATTGATCCATGGAAACAGAGTCGGAGTTGTAAATATACAACACCTCCTGAGAAAGTGTGTCCAGACAAAAGCAGCGGTCTCCAATTATTCCACAAAGGGGTACTTTTTCAGGACTAAAATAAAGTGCATTTATCCAACAGTGACATTGGACAGACCAGGAAAATGTGTGTGGAAAATTGTTTACAACTCAGAGAACTTTAGTGTTGTTCCAGCTTCATATTTGTGTGTCTGTGTGTGTCAGTGTGTGTCAGTGTGTGTCTGTGTGTGTCTGTGTGTGTCATTGGACCAACTATCGACTATAGTTAAAGCAGCTAAAATAGGCAACAATGTGGGCATGGATGCTCTTGAGTGTCTGTGTGTGTCATTGTGTGTCTGTGTGTGTCCGTGTCTCTCTGTGCGTGCCAGTGTGTGTCAGTGTGTATTAGTGTGTGTCATTGAACCAAGAGCACTCATTTGACTGAACTGCAACGATGGCGACATATCTAGAAAAACACAAACAAATTCAGGTTTGAGTCCGGCCCATTGACGTAAGAGCCACCAGTGTGTGTCAGTGTGTGTCAGTGCGTGTCAGTGTGTGTCAGAGTGTGTAAGTGTGTGTCAGTGTGTGTCTATGTCATGGAAGTCTCTCCAACCAAATTAGGTTTAACTCCACAAAGGTTGCTTTCAAAAATAGGAAGGTGACAATGGCATCAATGTGTGTGCATGTGTGTGTGTGCGTGTGCGTGTTTGTGTGCGTGTGTGTGCGTGCGTGTGTGTGTGTGTGTGTGTGTGTGTGTGTGTGTGTGTGCGTGTGTTGGAGGACATGACATCCTGCACTCTGGGGCTGTAGGTGAGAGAAAAGGAGGGTTTTTATTGTATTTTTGAACACAGTCTCTACAGATGCACAGACACATGGAACAAACTGTCTTGTGTGAGTAACGTGTTGTGAACAAATCAGACCACAACACGCTGCCTCCATCATATTAGAACACCTGCTATCTTTTACACACTGAGAACTCACTGGACGAACTGTTTTAGACCCAGCATCAACATACCATGTTCAGTCTCGCCGATGCAGGAGGGTGTAAGGACAGAGAGGATCCGGAGCAATTAAGGACATTTAGAAATATTTATGAATAGTGCCTATTCAATGTTGTTGATGTGTACTCTGTGTTTGAGCTGTTTGATTTTCTGAGCTGTTGGCGAATCGACAACCCTGTAAGCAAAAAAAAAATATATATATATACATTGAATTGAAGTGAAGTGAATCAAACTTCAATTTTGTATTAGGGACTCACATGCAAGCACAGGATCCATAGCTATGAACGTTAAAAAACACAAATGACTTGCTTACAGCCGCAGTCACGCACACTCACACACACACACACACACACACGCACACACACACTGGGACGATGGCTTCTCCGTCACAGATGAAGTGTCTCTCCCAAAGACACAATGACAGCAGACCCTCGATGGAGCAGGTCTCTTGGGGGATTGAACCCACAACCATTAGGCCCAAAGATCAATGCCCTACCAGCTGTGCCACTGCCATCTCACTGGTGTCAAAAATCTCCCAACAATATCTCCTTCTTCCCAACAGTCCACTTTACACGCTGATAATGTAATAAATAAATAATAAGGTGCCCTAGCTTTAATCTGTATCTAGATGTTATTTATGGATCAGTTCAAGCTGGAGGTGATACATCCTTCTCTGCCGTTGTTAAAGTCCCTATAGTATTCATTAGAATTGGCCAGAGAAGGATCAATAATACCATTCCATACAGAGAGAGCGTGTCACACAGACATTGATTCCAGTTTGAGAAAATGTACACACATGTTTCTGATTCCTGTTTGTTCAAGTCGATCCGGAAGAAAAAAATAATAATAATAATAATAAGCAAAGAGATGAGGACGCATTGGGATGAGCAGTCTTCGGTTTTGTGGTTGTCGTGGCGATTGGTCGAGCAGAGAGCGGTCACTGAGGGGCGCTAGAGAGAGGCAGAGCCGGGATCCACGCGCACACACACACACTGGTTCTGTATCGATCCACGGCTGAGTGATGAAGACGAGGGTTTCATGTGATTAAAGGACGGCTCGGGGAGGGTCATCGACCAGAGGGCTTTTCTCAGTCAGCACCCTCCCGTCTGCCTGTCTAAACATGTATCTTTTTATCTATCCGGGCAAGTTTATTTGTATAGCGCAGTTTATACACGAGGCAACTCAAAGAGCTGAACAAAACAAGGCATTTAAATCATAAATAGTCACAGTACATTCAAAAGAGTAAAGATACAATTCTTCAGTTGGATTCACAGCGAGACAGAGCCGTTTTTAGCCTGCTTTTGAGCATTGTCAGAGTAGAAGCCTGTCTCACGTTTTCAGGAAGACTGTTTGAAACCGTATGTATCTAAAGTCATGCTCAGCCAACCATCTCTCAGCCCAACATCAGCTACGTAAAATACACAAAATTGAGCAGATGGACCGTTATTTTCCTGGATCTTCCTGAAAGTGTTTTTTTAAATTATTTTTTATTTTCATTTCATTTCTTCCACTTGGTACAAATCCAGTTGTGTGAGATTGTTAATGTCGAATCGCGTTGTGTGTGTGTTTTTCAGGCACAATGGGTCTCTGTCCAACGGAGACAAGGGCCGCAGGAGAAGTCGCCTGGCCCTTTACAAGAGACCCAAGGCCAACGGAGTCAAGCCCGACGTCATCCACAACGTCTCCACGCCGCTGGTGTCAAAGGTACGACCGCCGCACGACGACTGCATGACGACCGCATGACGACCGCACGACAACCGCACGACAGTCGCATGGCAACCGCATGGCAACAAGGGACGAGCTGAGAAAAGAAATGTGGCGAAAAAGTCCATGCGCAGGTTTTTTTAATGCAGCTGTCTCCAGTCTATGAAAAGTGTGGATGAAGGTGAGAGAAAGGAGGGGCTTCTCTCACCTTCATCCATGAAATGAAACCATGTGGTTAGATTCGTACTTGTTATAAAACCAGAGTAGACAAATCCTTCCGGGCAGTTGGCTCCTCACGTTTGGAATGAGCTTCCTCAGTCTCTGCGGATGTTAGAGACTGTTGATGATTTCAAGTCCCAACTTAAGACCTATTTGTTTAGACAGGCTTTCTCGCCTCACTGTTCATAGGCCTCTGTGAACTGTGTTTTTCTGTGTTTTTGTTTTTAAATCTGACTTGTATGTGTATTTTATTTGTTTTAATGTGTGAAGCGCTTTGTGATCCTGGTCTGTGAAATGTGCTATACAAATAAACTTGACTTACTTACTTAGATTCAGATTCAGATTTCCAAATGGAGGACTATTTCCCACAGACTTATTTGACAGTCTGTAGAAAATCAATCTTGGCTAAAACTTGACTTAAACTGTAAGTAGTTCATTCAATTGCTCAACATTATGACGATTTCTGAACAGAATCCTGAAGGAGCTCAGTGTTTCGGAGACTGGAATCCAAACGACGCTAACAAACGTAGCTTGTAATACGTTTAAAGAAATGTGCGATGGCTGCTCCCGCCTCATAACAATGTGTCACTTTAGCAGCTCCTGGCGCAGGCGGAGAGAAGCATATTTCACAGGCATGAATCACGCTGATGTTTGGCAGCACCTTTCATTTAATAAACATCGCTTCATATTGTAAAAAATGGCATCTCGACTCGCTCTTCTAGCTCTGCCAGATGGGTGTCCGTGGAGCACCGTCTGGCAGAGACTTGGAAATGTCCGGCTGGTCCCTCGCTACAAAGCAGTCCACTTTAAGGCCAATTTTAATACATTCAGATTATTTGCTGTTTGCAGTAAAACCACATTGGAATACACATACAAGAGCCCCCAGTGTGCACAAGACAAGTACATGAATAAAACAAGCTAAAAAGTACAGGAATAAGATTGGTTTCGTTTCGCACTGTATGACTGACTTGTACTTTTCTATCTTGTGCTTTTCTATGCCATTGTCTGAAATAAATGAAAAGGAAAGCTACAAAAAAAAACACACACAAAACAATAGTGACCGTGAAACCAATCGACAAAAACAGTTTCAATGCAAGTTCTAGATCATGAAAGTGCTTTGTTCAGACTGATATCATATCGAGATGTCCTGCATCTCAACTAAACAATATCTTCTGCCAGAGGGAAGAAGCTGGAACATGGCTTTCTAAGAGCTTGGTTTTAGAGTCTGGATTCATAAAGAACCCCCAGAACAGGCAGCTCACAGTCCTCTCACAGAGCGGAGCACCTTGTTTGTTATAGAAGAAATAGGTATTTTTCATGATAAATAAATCTAAATCTGTCCGGTTTGCAATTTTATTTTACTTCAAGGTATTCAAAATGTTCTCAAATTAACATACATTTTGCTAAATTTGAGCAACTTTTGACTATTCTCTGTGTGACACTAACAGAACACATTGGTAAACAGAGAAATCGCGAAATGGCATCTTCTCCTTCCCATGTGACCTGATGTGTGTGTGTGTGTGTGTGTGTATTTGTGTGTGTGTGTGTGTGTTTCCCTCTGGACAGGCGCTCAGCAACAAAAGCCAGCACAGCATCTCCTACACGTTGTCCCGCAGCCACTCTGTCATCGTAGAGTACACTCACGACACCAACACGGACATGTTTCAGGTCAGTGCGGCCACGAGCGCCTTCCCACCGAGACCACACGACCACACCGGACACACAACTGGACATACAACTGGACACACAACTGGATACACAATTTGACACACAACTGGATGCATTGTTTTATGGTGCAAAACTTTTTGAAAGAGAGAGAAAGACTAGAGCGCGAGAGAGACCAGAAAGAAAGACCAGAGAGAGACCAGAGATATACAGAGACCAGAGAGAGGGACCAGAGAAAGACCAGAAAGAGAGAACAGAGATAGAGAGAGACAAAAGATAGAGAGAAACCAGAGAGAGACCAGAGATAGGGACCAGAGAGAGACTAGAGATAGAGAGACCAGAGAGAGACTGATAGACCAGAGAGAGAGAGACCAGAGAGAAAGAGAGAGAGAGACCAGACTAGGGGGAGAGTTCATTGTTACCATAGCAACACACTTTTTTTACAATCAGCAGTTAGCATTTGGTCTTTAACAAACTGTTTTTGATGTATTTCAAGTTTTACTCACCAGTTTTAGCACTTGGTTGAAGAAAGTAAAGGTAGAACCCTTATAAATTACTTCCTTTTAATAAATCTGCCAAAAAACTAGACAACTTTTTTGGGTAATTTCTCAGAATTCCATTGGTTTGATTTGGAGAAATCAAAACGACGGCTCTGAGAGTTCTAGTAGTTTCAAACTTCTGGTAGTCCTGGTGTTGATGGTGCTTGTGCTGGTGTCTCTGCAGATTGGCCGGTCCACAGAGAGCATGATCGACTTTGTGGTGACGGACACGGCGGGCAGTGGGAGTGGCCAGGGCGGAGGGGGCGTGTCCTCGGTGGAAGGAGGCAACAGCGGCCAATCGGCTCAGAGCACCATCTCGCGGTACGCCTGCAGGATCATGTGCGAGCGCAGCGCCCCCTACACCGCGCGCATCTACGCCGCCGGCTTCGACTCCTCCAAGAACATCTTCCTCGGGGTGAGTGCAGCGACCCGGGCGCCATGGTAACACGTGCGGCGGCAGAAGGGACGCCTACGGGTGACATGGCATCTGTCAGAGCATGAGAGATGTGTTTGTGTGTGTGTGTATGTGTGTATTTCTGAATGTATGTATATATGTACAGTATGTGTGTGTGTGTGTGTGTGTGTGTGTGTGTGTGTGTGTGTGTGTCTATGTGTGTGTGTGTGTCTATGTGTGTGGGTGTTTGTTTGTCTGTCTTTATGTGTTGGTGTATGTCTGTGTGATATAAAATTGGGGATGGAGTTTTTGCTATTATGTCCCAAAACTACGGAACTCTCTCCCTTAGATTACATTAGAACCTCCTGCAATACAAATAAAGCTACTGTTATTATTATTATTATTATTATGGGGATTCAGAATAATACACAAAATATTGCATCTTTAGACAACGCTGAAAAACATAAAAAGCTAGAGGAAAAATCCTACTAGTAAAATGTCCACAGATGTACAGTACATTAGCGAGTGTGAAACTACCCACTCACTGCTGCTGAATAGTATTTAAATCATTTCTGAATCTGAAATATATCTATCACATCTTACACTGTAAAAAGTGATTGAATATGAAGTAATAAATGCAAGTGTTTTTTTATCTTATAATTTTCCAGTGGGACAAAGCTTTTTTCTCTCATTCCAATTTCTTGTCAATTTTAAAAACAAGACTCTTTTGCTTTGTCCTATTGGCAAATCTCGTTTAAAGGCAGTCAGAATGTTTGAAATTCTACGTTTAATTTCCATCACTTTTTGCAGTGTAGTCTCCCGAGAGCTCACTCCTCCTGTGGAAGCCTGAACACACAAAACAGTAAATGTTGTGTGCGTTTGAACGCAGCTTGTGTCGTGTTGCTGTTAATAATGCAGCTGATGCTCGTGTCGACGGCCATTGATGTTACACTCTGAGCTCCTTCACCAGACAGAGTTTACTGCAGGTACTACAGGGTTATGTGCGCAAGAAAAGTTATGAAAAATCAGTCAAAATCTTAATTTGAGCACATTCTGACTGCCTTAAAACAAGATTTGCCAATAGCAAAATGATTTAAAAAAACGCTCAATTCAAGCAATTATTATAATGTATTTTATCCCTTTTTATGCAGTGTATGACAAGGATCTCCAACTCCCCTTGGAGAACACTTAGAACTATTTTTATTTTATTTTATTAGGATTTGAAAACATTTCTTAAAACAATGGAACAAGCAGCTTTAGTCTCATTCCAAACACAGAAAAAGCAAAAGTGTTTCTTGTTTCATTCAAAATCAAAATGTTCTCTAGTTATTGTAGCCAAATTTGGTCCATCTCTATTTTAGTATTTTCTATTACGTAGTGTTGTACACACAAAACAATCCATCATCATTTATTAGTGCAAACAGTTGGCATTTTTATTGTATCCTTTGGGGAGCTACTTTGGAGAGGGTGGTGAGCTATTGGTAGCTGCCGAGCTGTAGGTTGGTGACCCGTGCTCTATGAACAAGCACAAAGTAAATACAAACACATGAACATTATATAACACATATTTAAAGAAGCAGTATGTAAAAAAAATCTGCTGCAACCTCTCCCACTCTCCCTGAATCAGGTTGCCAGATATGCAGACGAATCCAGCTGGGTCCATAACATCTGAAAAGACAAGAGTTTTGTCAACAACAAATCTATAACCAAAGATAGAAATCCTGGTTTTATTCCTTGTTTTGTCGTTAATGATTTGAGAATTATAACAAGACCTTTTTGGTTCTGCGGCCACATGTTACTTTACCAGTGAGATTAGCTCGACACAGTGAGTTCTGGCAACCCGCATCACAGACCTTCTGATTGGTTAAACGGTGGAGGGCGGGACATCGAAATCAAAACAAAAACAAGAATTTGTGGTTGTAAAACTAATTTTGAAATCCAAATATCTCTGAACTAGGGTTTAATATTTTTCCCGAAAATGAGACGTATCATATCCCGGGAAAAGACGACGCCTTTCCCGGGAAATCCCGGGAAATAGCTGTTGTTTGTAGTTGTTGTTTTTAGCCCAAGTAATGTATGATATCACTCAAATATATAATCCAACAAAAGCTGCCATCTCCACTAGTGTTTCACCAAGTGACTTGCTAGCTTTTATAAAGTAGCCATAGCGTTTTCAGACGTTTTGTTGATGGGCTTTCTTCAGGAATTTCACTATTATGAGATTCTAAATGTCTGCACAATCCACTTGTCGAAAAGTGACGTGCGGTGTGGTTTGGAGGCACTGACTTCAGCCCAATCAGATGAACATATATCATATAAATCAACAGAACCTACAGAGCGGCTTATTCACAATTAGTTTGGCTACAGCAGAATGTTTTCCATGGCCCGCATTGTTTGCTCAAACAAAACGCAAAAGTTCGTAAAAGGCACATTTCCAATTGTGTTATGGGTCTTACCTTAGTTATTAATGAACAGCACAGACAACTTCAGTTCAGACCAGTTTCATGTTTAAGTCCATATAATAGTTTGAGCGCAGATATGTAATCCCCCATTTGGAAATAAGCCCAAAGAGTTTTAAAGCGTAAAACAAAACGGGTGCCACCTCCATAAACTCCTCCGTGTGTTCGCTGCAGCCGGCTCTCGGGCGCATCCAATTTCTAATATCAACCTTCTTACCCTTCTCCTCTCTTCCTTATCATTCTTATCGTCATTGGAAGCAGAACATTACCCTAAATGCATTTTATATGATTTTAAAATGTGTTATATGTATGTTAGCCAAACCTGTTGCTGCCCTTAGCAGATGGAAAAAAAGAAAGGAGCTTTCTGATAGAATTGGACGTAACCAAATTCTGGGCTCTCATGTGCCCCGTACCCTGAGCCTGGCCTCATTACAAGTCGTGGTTTAGCGCGATGAAGACCCATATTTGTTGTCAAAAACACAATTTAGGAGCCATCCTCTCAGCTGTAGACATGTTGATTGTAAATGAAATATTTTTTAACTTTGAACAACAATAAACGTGCTTTATAATAGGAGCGCACTGTATTTTTTTTTTACTTTCATTTCCCGTTTCCCGTCATAACATTTCCCGGGAATCGGGAAATAGTTTTCATCAGATTTCCCGGGAATCCCGTATCCCGGGATTAAACCCTACTCTGAACTACTGTGATCAGTTACAGAAGTACGGTTTGTTAATGCCTTTTGACAGATTAGGGCCCTTTAATGATGACATGAAAATCTTACAAATGGCTCCTTTAATACATGACAAAGAAACGTGAGGCAGCAGCTGAGAGAACGAGGAGAACGAGGAGCTGCCGGTCACATGCAGCACAAACAGGAGGTGAATCTGGATAAGTGCCTTACGTTATTAAATATCATTAACCTTCAGCGATGGACCGTGGCGGCGGCGGCGGCTCACACGTGACTCGCAGGTGCACCGAGCCATGTGCATGACTTCATCCCATGCAACATTCATCAGAATAGCCCTAAAAGCAGGCCAGCAGTCACCGGGCACATGCGCCACAGCTCTCTTGCATAACACACACACGCACACACACGCACACACACTCACTCTGTGCTCTTTTATTTACTCGCGTTCATGACTGTGTAAATGCCTGTGTCAGCGACGGCAGGAAGACAATAAAACCTCTTGACATATCAATTAAAAAAACAGCCTTTTGTCCACGCTGCCAAAGCTGTGATATCATTACAGTCATTTATAGACAACCACTCATGACACTGCAAAAAGTGAGGAGAAATCAGTCAAAAATGGCTCATGTTTGGGAAAATGTGTCTTCATCTGACCACATTTGGACAGTCTTAAAACAATAATTACCAACGGGGCAAATTGCAAAATGATCTTTACTTTGCCTCTTATTTTGCTAAATGTAAAAATGTTATACTTCTTTATTATTATTATGTTCAAGATAGAGATTTTATACTTGTTCTTTTTGATACATGTTTTGAATGGAGCGATTCTTCCAACACAGAGTGCGCCTGTGGTTTGGACGTGTTGTGTGTGTACAGCTGGTTGATGCAGATGAGCTCGGTGTGTAGCCCCTGCTCCTCTGCTGCCTCAGTACAGTCCTGTAGTCATCCCGCACAGCTCTAAAAATAGAGCCGGAGAAAAGCCACGTTTGCTCTTTCTGTCAGCGGCAGCTCTGACAGACCCCTCCCCCTCTCCCCTCCTCTCCCCTCCTCTCAAGGCAAGGCAAGTTTATTTGTATAGCACAATTCCTACACAAGGAAACTCAAAGTGCTGAACAAAATAAGATAGAGACAGCTACACAAAGCTTTAAAATCAAATAACCACAGAACGTATGTACAGCCAGAGAGAGCTGTTTTTAACCTGGATTTGAACTCTCCTCTCTCCCCTCTCCTCTCCCCTCTCTCCTCACTCCTCTCCCCTTTCTCCTCTTCTCCTCTTACTTCTCTCCTCTCTCCCCTCTCCTCTTTTCTCCTCTCTCCCCTCTCCTCTTTTCTCCTCTCTCCTCTCTCCCCTCTACTCTCACTTCTCTCCTCTCTCCTCCTCTTCTCCTTTCTCTCCTCTCACTTCTCTCCTCTCCCCTCTCCTTCTCTTCTCCTTTTTCTCAAATCTCCTCTCACTTCTCCCTCCTCTCTCCTCTCATCTCTCCTCTCTCCCCTCTCTCCTCTCCCTCCTCCCCTCTTTCCTCCCTCCTCTCTCCCCTCCTCTCTCCCCTCCTCTCTCCTCCTCTCTCCCCTCCTCTCTCCCCTCCTCTCTCCTCTCTCCAGGAGCGTGCAGCCAAGTGGAGGACCTCGGATGGCCTGATGGACGGCCTGACCACCAACGGGGTCCTGGTGATGCACCCGGCCGGAGAGTTTGTGTCGGAGCCGTCCCCCGGAGTGTGGAGGGAGATCTCTGTGTGTGGGAACGTCTTTGCCCTGAGGGAAACCCGCTCGGCCCAGCAGAGGGGCAAACTGGTGAGAAAAGTAATAAAAGAAGCATTCGTTATCATTATATCACTACATACAAGCAGACACCTGTGACCCTCCGCCTCTGCACCAGCTCTCCATCCCAAACTCAACCAAATGGATTTTCCAGTTTGAGTCACGATAAATTGGTGATTTCAGAATGGAGTCAATCTGAATCTGAAGTTAAATAAAGGAATTTCATATTGTGTAATCTGACCTGCATATTTTCTGCTTTACTTTATCACTGCTAAACTTTATTATCTGAAGAATTGAACATTTTTGCTCTGACCCATATTGTTACTACAGTATCTATATCCTAAGTATGCGTCGGTAATATCTCAAGTGATGACGTCTCCGTTCTTTAATCTAAAATCATATAAAAAGCGTTGTCTCTGAAGGGACTCAAAAATATAAGTTCTTAAAATATCTTAAACTTATGATGTATTAAAATTAGTTTCCACTTTGCTCCAGGATGACTATTCTGATTTATAAACATGTTGCTCTGATGTGTAGCGCCATCATGTGGTGGTTGAGGGTCACTGATAAACCACTGCACATCTTTCTGTCTGCTCCACACTGTGACGCCGTGGTCTGATGCTGCTGTGTGTCCTCAGGTGGAGAATGAGTCCAACACTCTGCAGGACGGCTCTCTGATCGACCTGTGCGGGGCCACTCTGCTGTGGAGGACCCCCGCCGGCCTGCGCCACACTCCCACCCTCAAACAGCTGGAGTCCCTGCGGCAGGAGCTGAACGCCGCACGGCCGCAGTGTCCTGTGGGCTTCAACACTCTGGCCTTCCCCAGCCTGGCCCAGCGCGAGATCGTGGACAAGAAGCAGCCCTGGGTCTACATGAACTGTGGCCATGTGCACGGCTACCACAACTGGGGCTACCGCAAGGAGAAGGGTCCGGCCGGCCCCGGAGGCACGGCTCCGGCCAGTACCAGCGACAGGGAGTGCCCCATGTGCAGGAGGGTGGGCCCCTACGTGCCCCTGTGGCTGGGCTGTGAAGGAGGCCTGTACCTGGACGCGGGACCCCCCACTCACGCCTTCTGCCCCTGTGGCCATGTGTGCTCTGAAAAGACTGTGATGGGCTGGAGCCAGATCCCCCTGCCCCATGGCACCCACGCCTTCCACGCCGCCTGCCCCTTCTGTGGCACCTGGCTCACCGGCGAGCAGGGCCACGTTAAACTCATCTTTCAGGGTCCCGTCGACTGAGACCCCACGCACCAGACCAGCAGGACTGAACTGGAACGAACAGAACAAGCCACTGACTGTGACATGCAATAGTAGATGCCAAGGCTTCACATGAGTTATGATGTGTACGGAGAGAATGTAAATAAACGTGTTGAAATGAACGCGCCATGGCTCTTACTTACACATAACCAGGGGCGGTGCCAAGAGGGGGCTCCAGCTCCCCCTAGAATGGACAAATCCACTTTGTATTCTTTGCTCCATCTTTACCCAATTTTCAATGTCCAAACAGCCTTAAAATCAACACATTGAAAAGAGAGTTTTCTATAAATATTATACTTAGAATCAGGCCTTAAGCATTCGTTTGCCCAGTGCAGGGCATCCAGGCTTTTGTGAGTAGTGCTTCTCTATGGAAGAGCTTAGCTCCCTCTAAGCCCCCTGGAACAAAAGCAAGGTGCTTCCCCTGGGACTTTTTCTGGATTCAGAAAAACAATGAGAGCAGTGTGTAAATGAAAAAAAGGGATAAAGGACAAAACCAGAGTTTAAAATGTGATCAAAGCATCATCTATTCTTATATTTCTCTATTTCCCAGAGTGTGTGATTGATGTGTTTTCATTGTCTTAGAGATGACTAACAATTCGTCCAATAGAATCTGTAACATTCTTCCTTCACAGTGATCAATTGTGACATAAAATGCTTCTGATGGATGAGAATCAATCCAGAAGATTCTCCATGAGACACTCTGATTAATGAACAGACCTGATCTCACATTCCTACATCTTCAAAATGATTATGAGGCACATACAGAACACACAGGTACAGAGCAGACTTTAGTCTTACTCCCAGCAGTGCTCAGCGCCCCCACGGAGCTAAAAATACCTCAAGGTCACATCAGAGTCCAGGTGCGAGCAGGGGACCCATCAGCAGGAGTCCCACAGCAGCAGGGGTCCCACAACAGCAGGGGTCCCACCTCCATCATCTGCTCTTGGTACATTACAGCGAACAGAAGGATTTTGGCACATGTTCTAAATGTGATCGGACCCTTGTTCTTAACAAAAGAATACTGTATTACTGTAATAAATATAATCATCACTTGATGCTTTGTTGCAGTGAAATATTTGCTTAATAACACAAACCTAAACAAGCCAACATTCAAACCACAGGAAATGTAATTATAAAGAAATTAATTAAAAGAGTTTTCTCTAAAAACAGTTTGATTCCATCACTAGTTTTCACCTCCGATTTTTAGATCAGTGAAAAGGGAGGACCACGCACTCGTCAAATAGTGACTCAAGGCTTTTACAAGAAACCATTTGTAAAGAAATGCATGAGGGAGGGTACCCCAGATTGACAACAGGAGCACACTTGTAAAGCTCCTCCCACAACTATAAATAGCACTAATATTGTACATGATCTCACACGACGTAATGATTCCTGACGGCGTGACTCTGGCTCCCTCTGCAGGTCATCATGATGCTTTACATAATCCAGGGTTATTTTGTAATGCTTTTCTTCTGTATATTATTTAGCTGTTAAAGGATAAAACTTTACACAAATTATACGAATAATTGCACACACGCAGTAAAATGACCGTTTGACTGTTTTATTATATATAGTATATTTATAATATGTACAGAAAAACATGATCAAACTCAGCAGGGAAACAGCAGAGAAGGGCAGAAAGAAAAGACAAGAGCAGTGGCCGAGGCGTTGGAGATATAAACAACACCTGCCTAAACCGCCGCTGACAGAAGAAAAGAAATCAATGTGCAAATGACGACACCCCAAACACACAGGAATACAAAATAAAAAGTTTCATTAGAATCACATTCAAATAAAGCAAACCCCATGTCCCCTACACTTCAATGAACTAGACAACACAGTACGGCAATGACAGCTGCAGAAAACAAACACAGACATCATGGAAACAAAATTTAAAAAAAACTACATATCATTACCAGGCTACTAGAAAATGTGTGACTTTTTTTTTTCCTCTCTCGAATTGTGTAAAAATGAAATTGAAAAAAGATCGGGACATGTGCGGGAGTGGCTAATATTGTTTGCTTGATTCGCATCTACTTCAGTGAGACTTCGGTGAGACTTCAGTGTCCGAAAAGCCCAGGAATGTTCCGTATGACCACGCACGTGCACACCTGTCCCCTTCCCCTCCCGTCCCCTTCCCCCTGATTCTCTCCCAGACCGGGCGCTCCGGTTTAGGCTCGACACAAAAAATAAAAAAGCTATAAATAAAAGAATGTAAACTGAAGCTGACGCAAGGCAATGACGCGGCTCCCCGTCTCCGAGACCGTGGCTGCGGTGCAAGCGATACCACGGGTGACAATGTAAGGCAATGTCTGTTAAAGGGATGCGCCGGAGGTGGCCGAGGTGGCGGAGGTGCGAGGGGAGAGTTGGGAGGTCATATCCGGTCAGAACTCGCCCGCGACCAGTCAGTCCCAAAAGCTCCGGAAGACCCCAAAATGCACACCGGGAACGTGGACAAGCACAGCTCCTAAAAAAAGCTATTAGAGTTTTTCTTTTCTAGTGTCAAGAGTATGAGAGACTTGTATTAACCATTTACGAGACTGGTTATTAATATCTTATAATGAATCAAGCGATATTACTTGAAATAAGTTAAAACTACTCAAATCGAGGAAATGGGCAAGTAAATCAATGTTTTTTCATGATCTCGTTTGGTGATACTTTCTCCCCTTCCTCTTTAATATGGACTAATTGAAAACAAATGGTTCTGTGGTTTTTGTGTAGTGTCAAATATTTAATCCTAAACCTACAGCGGCCTCACCGGGAGACAAGCCTAGAATAAAAGTTGTTTACAAAATAGAAAACGTGATCCGACTCCCAGAGCACCGTTCCTATAGTTATCCGACCTACAAAGTTGTACAGAGGGCGAATATTTATTTTCAACGGCAGCCAAGCCACACCTGCATCCAGGGGAACATCAGCCAGGACCACTCCTCAATGTGTGTGTTAGTGTGTGTGTGTGAGTTGCGAAAGGGCCCAGGCTGAGGTTAGCGGCCTCTAGTCTCTAAACATTCTTCGGAGGTTCCCTGGAAATTCCGCCGAGACCCAACACCGAAGCGAGTGACGGCTCAGAGCTGTGTGTGCAAACCCCGCCCCCCTGCTCACATTCCAGCCGCGGGTTTTGCTGTCACTGTGCCAACTAGTGTGTGCAGAATATTGGGGCCGAAAAGGTGAAAACCAAGAAAGACTTGGGGCTGTTTTTTGTGTGTAGACGATGCAAAAGTAGTCCAAGAATCTACAGGATGTTTCTATACACTAAAATGTGAATGTATTTCAAACTGGGAGACCGAAGTGAGAAGGCCAAGCAGGCTTTGACTAATGACACATTTTCCGCTAAGTCCACTACGCTCCTTGCCTGACGGCGCTTACATTGCTGCGAAGAAGAAGAAAAGAAGAAATCCAAAATCTACGCACTGCAGTGGGTCTGACTACACTCGACAGAGCACTTAACGTGGGAAAGCAGAGCGAGCGAGCAGTAAGGCAGAAGAAAAAAGCTCTATTTTTTTTTACCAGAAGTTTAAAAAGGAAGGGAACAGTGAACCCACCCCCCAAACACACACACACACACAGACGCACATACACACACAGACACACACACACACACCAAGTCTGCACCCTGCTTCATCTGCAAACAAGCAAAGACTACATTCACCGGCTGCACTGACTACTGTACAGCCCAAATAAAAGACTAAAACCACAACAACTATTAAGGGCTTCTCCTTCGACTGAGTGGACTTCTGGATGGTTCGCCTTTTGTCCTCGCAGTTTTTGAAGCGTGAAAATCATCACAAAAGATTAAAATACAGTCGTGTCATTCAGACCTTTTCCGCCGCAGATTTCGGGCTAGATCTGTTTTTTTTTTTCTTTTTTGTGTAAAACCTCCAGCAGTGCAAATGGAGCGTTGCACTGTTGAATTTCAGGAAAAAAACAAGGGGTGAAGTCAGATCAGATCAGGTGGTGGAGTACAAAGTATTTACAAAAGGCGTGGTGTGAAGGATTCGACCGGTGGGAGATCGTTATGTGAAATAATGTGGGACAGGAACCGCTTCTGGTCAGATCAAAATAAAAATTAAAAAATAAAATAATCAAAGCAGCGAAAGGCCATGGGTGGATTTATGGCGTTTTAAGACTGTGATAGCTGCTGCCGTTGAGGAAATCGTTTAAGTCCATGCGCTGAAGCAGGTTGGAGAGGCCCGAGGCTCAGAGGATGGGCTCTCCCTGTCCAAATTGTCAATAAATAGCAAGAATTCGCCGTCTAAAAACAGGCGCACGGCCGAAAAAAACTACCTGCTCTAAGCTCCTCTGGCTTGTATGTGTGGCCCCCTTTTACACAGCATAAAGTAGAGCGCCATGTCTCGGGCGGGATGAATTGTAACCGTGCGTTTGCCAGCCCCAAGCCTAAATATGGAAACAACCGATGCAAAAAAAAAGTCATATTTGTGTGTGCGTGTATGTGTGCGTTTGTGTGTGTGAAAAAAGAGTCTAGCCAAGTCAGTTCCCTATGACAAGTCTAAGCTACAATAGGTAAAAATGTGGCTGCTTAAAGTCTTAACATTACGAGGTGAAGTGTGATAAAAGCGGCAAATAAATAGTCGTGTTGCGGAGATTTCTGTGTAAAAGGGGATTGTGTGTGCGTGTGTGTGTATGTGTGTGTCCTCTTGCCTCCCCATCTTCAGGTTTGTGTAGTGAGCAGACGCACCCTGCTCTGTCGAATGAGGTCCTTTTCAGTCATGTAGATTCGGTGTTTGTAGGAGGAGGAGGTGCTGTGTGTGTCTTTGTGTGTGTGCGTGTGTTTGTGTGTGGAGGGAGTCCTTTAACAACAGCCCCCACTGGACTGCCGGACGGGGGTGCTGTCGATTTTGATGTTGGGTTTGTCCCCGCCGGCCGTGGCTCCGGGGCCCATGCGCTTCTTGATCTCCGCCGCCATGGTCATGAACGCCTGCTCTACGTTCGTGGCGTTCTTGGCGCTGGTCTCCAAGAAGGGGATGGCCAGGGAGTCGGCAAACTCCTGGAACACAGACAGGGAAGTTGAGAAATAAGGAAGTTAAAAGTCTATTGGTGCTTTTCAGTTCAGTGGGGATGATCCAGGACACTCGACCATCAACATTTATGGATCAATGGCTCTATGTGTTTGTTATTACATTTCTTGTGTTTAGAATTGCTTCATTCTCTGATCTGTGTTGGCGAAATCAACGGTTTGTGTGTACTTATAATTACTACAATACAAGTGCACTAAAAATCTATGTGTTTTTAGTGCATTTGTGTATAGAAAATGTCATGTAGATTTTGTATTTTGATACCCGCCTTATTCCATTTTTACTTATAAACTTTGCATCGAGAGTCAAACCAATCTCCAAGTTTGTGACTTCTTGTTACTCACAATAGCAATAAAAAGAACTGTTTCTGATTCTTTGTCACATTGTATCCTGTGCAGATATGATCCAAAATCAGCTTTATTCATGGCCATTAGTCACCGTAAAAACATTGTCCAAGAGATTGCGTTTCAAACTGAACAGATGGACCTCACTGAACCAAAGAAAGAAGGAATTTTGATACAAAGCGTTTGAAAGTCTGAACAGGAAGTAAGCAGCGCAAAGTAATTTTAAAGGCATATACATATATATTATTTTTAATTGCATTGTTTTTATTAACGTTCTTTATGGCCGAGCACATTTTTGATTTTGACAGGCTGTGGCAACAACTCGTAAGGTTAGAAAAATGTACAGGATGTAGCTGTAGCTAGACCAGAGACAAAACAGACCAATCAGACCAGCTCTAGGTTTTTCCACTGCGGTGATGGTCACATACACTGTAAAAAACTATAAAACTGACTTGGGTGAAAACATAATCTAATCCTTTATTAGACAATTCATTCGAGTCATTTTTACTACGTTCAATAATTCTATACACAGTAAAAATCAATCAATCAAAAGCATAGATTGAGTAGTCTCTATTAGACGCTGTTTGGATTAGATCAATTTAAGATTTTTGCTTCGTCCAATCCCTATTAAAACCAAATCAAGCAACATTTAGATCATTGCATTTTCTGTCTTTGATTCTCTGATCTGTGTAGGAGAATCAACAGCTTGGTAATGTCCTCAGAGATCACCGCTGTTGTGATTTAGGGCTAAACTGAAAAAAATAATTGTTTAGCACATCAGTACTATTCTAAAGCTAAGCTAAAGTAATGTTGAATTGATTTTTAGATAAATATTGATATTTTTAAATGTGATGTTGTTTTACGAAGAAATATTGATCCACCCCCGTTCATTTTTTTATATTTTATAATTTCCTTGTAAGAAAGTATAGTATTGTGTGTTCGAAGCCGTACCTTGGCTGTTGTGTAGTCCACGACTTTCTTTGTGGTGAGGTCACACTTGTTGCCGACGAGAAGCTTGTTCACATTTTCACTGGCGTAGCGGTCGATTTCTTGTAGCCACTGCTTGACGTTGTTGTAGGACTCCTGTGAGACAAACACACGGCATCAGCGATCGCAGAACAGAGCGAGCGATCCGAGGCTTTCAAACACACACTGACCTGATCCGTCACGTCGTAGACCACGATGATACCGTGAGCTCCTCTGTAGTAGCTGGAGGTGATGGTGCGGAACCTCTCCTGCCCCGCGGTGTCCCACTGCCAGACAAAACCAACCTTAATGTACAGACACGTGTCGCAAACCCATTCAAAGACGTCGGAACTAACGGTACAAAAGCAAAACCCCTGAACATGGCACAAGACACAGGCCGACTTGATTTTCTTCCAGCTTCTAATCAGCTCCCACCTGACAAAATATTCTGTCGGCTATGCTAGTGTGTTTGCTAAACTCTCTCCAACTCTAAAGAGCTCTCCTATCACTCTCCATAACTATTCCATAACATTTTTTTTAACAGTTGTTAATGAGGTTTGAACATGTTTTTGAATTTTTTGCCACTATATGTTTGATATAGTTAATCATCTCTTTAGGATGACTGCTTCTCAAATGTAACCTTTAGGTCCATAACAAATTAATGAATGAATAAACTACACGCGTTAGACTTGTTTATAGGTTGAGGTTTGAAACACTTGGTTTGCATTTTTCCAAGACTTCGGAGCATTAAGAGAGCAGCACTCCCTGACCCACATAAGTACTATTGGAATGTCAACAATCAGGTGAGATTTAAAACAAAAAGCAAATAAACATTGATATTTTTAAATGAGATTCAATAGTGTATTTTTAAAGGATTTATCCCCCTCCCCTTTATTCATGTTTTTTTTTTATATCCTTGTAAGAATCTAGTGTTGTAGGTCATGGGGCCCAACGTCTTTACTGCATAGTTTAGAATCAGAATCAGAGGGTGGTATGAATAACACACAGACACAATCAAGTCTAAATCCAAAGGGGGAAAACGTAATCATGTTTTTAATTAATTTCTTAAAAAGGAAGCATTGGAGGATTTTCCCAAATTTTAGGAAAGAACCGCCCTCTCCAGTTTTTTTTAACAAAGTCTGGTCTTATTTGACGAGCTCGCATCACCAGAATGATTGACAACTGGGAGGACCAATAGTATTGATGATCCACCCGGAAGCAGAACATCCCTCTCTATACCTTTACATTTATGTTAATTATTCACATGTAGATTTGCACTTTATAAAGGAATCAACATCACATAATGTACAGAAATATTATTACAGTTACTATTATTTCATACTCTCCTTGTGTATTAAATGTGCTTTACAAATAAACTTGCCTCGCCTATACCTCACGTTTACCATTATCCAACTCAATCCAAAACAGCTTTAAAACCGGTCTATGTCACAACACTCTCCAAAACCACATTCAAATCATGACGTAAAAGCCAAAAGGCACCTGCAGGTAAATTCATAACGACCTGGCACCAACTTGTGAAAGCAAATTTCCATTAAAAGCATAACACAATAGGAGCGTCGGCTGTGTTTGTTCTCCAGGTAGCAGAGGAGCACGGTGGAACAGGGAGGGGGCGGAGGATCCTCTTACACACACACATAAAGCCTGTGGGAGCTCAGGTGTGTGGAGGGAGGTCACTTACGATCTGCAGTTTGATGGTTTTGCCATCCAGCTCGATGGTGCGGATCTTGAAGTCCACTCCGATCGTGCTGATGTAGCTCTCTGTGTAGGTGTCGTCCTGCAAGCAAAAGTAAAACCAGGACGTGTTGATCTGGGCTAGAAAAAAAACACGCTAAGGCTGCTATGCTTGTAACTGGTAAATACTGCCATTTCAGAATGTCCATCAAATGTTACTTTATCTACTTATTATCCTGCCCTGTATCTAACTGTGCACTACATACATATACATACATATGTTGGTATTGAAGGATTTACAGCTAGCTAACAAACATTACAGCTCCTTACACTGTATATTTTGTGTGTCTCTTATCAACATTGGCCTTTCCTGATAAGCCTGGAGTCTGAATCATGTGGTGGTAGAAAATCTAAACAGTGAGATCATTCAAATTTACTGTACCCTGCTTTTATGCTAGTGCTAATTGCTGTCGTTTGTGCTACGTTACTCAGTAGTAGTCTTCAAAGCTGTGGAAAATATAGCAGTCGTAGAAGTTAGCATGCTTGTAAAGGTTTGTTGACGGTCAATGATTCTATACTGAAGGTTCAACGCGTGGCTAATACACACACACAGTCCTTTGAATAACATATTGTTCTTTATGTGTATTTGATCCTTTAAATATAATGAGGAGGGTGTAAGGAGAGAACATTCAATGACATTTATTAACATTTATAAACATTGGTCATCTGCCCTTTATTTAGGGCTATTCATAAATTAATTGAATTGTTATCTTCAGAGCCATTTTGAGTGTTAGTGAAATCATGTCCGTGTCAAAGATATAAGTTAGAATGAGCAGCAGGCGCAGGGTTAAAAAGGGGCCATCGCTGCTATGTTTAACACGCTAATGAAAACATGCAGTTTTAATGAAGGAAATTCAACTCAGGACGGATTTGGAGTCAATAAATGAGTTTAAGAAAGCAGAGAATAACTAACTGTGTGGCTTTAAACCGATCTGTGGATATGTAACAGATCAGAGTTCAAGCACAAAGCATTGTGTGAGGGGGCAGTGTGTACGAGTTTATGCAGAGAATATCTCGGTTTAGCATTTGGTGGGAGAGATTGTGAAAAAAATGTGGTATCTCTGTCCCTGTCTCAAACCTATGAATGTGTAAATAAATGTGATTTTCTGGACGTTTCTTCTCACAGCCGGTTATAGTCGTCTTTTATAAGATTGTCTGTATTTTTTTTTATGCAAGTCTTTTGGTGTCTGTCTGTTTCTTGTTCTAGTGAGAGACCTAGAGTCTGACTAAAGAAATGATGATTATTAACAGAACAACGGTCATTTGACTTGAATGTCTTTCTTTGTGCCGGCTGAATTGATTAGTGTGGCTCAGGCTTTGAAAGAAAAGATCAATAATGGCCGACTCACAGCGAATCGAAGCAGGAGACAGGACTTCCCCACCCCAGAGTCTCCGATGAGCAGGAGCTTGAACAGATAGTCACTGAAACGACAGCACAACACCAGTCACTGGGGAGAACGAGGGCACGATGGGCCGCTATAACCTTGTTAATTACAGGGAAACAATCCAGGGCATTGTACAATTCAGCACACGTGATGTCACAGATGTAGATCTGGGCTTAATTGCATCTGGTTCCAATAAAGAGAAAAAAACAATACTTCCAAAAGTTCACTGGGGACATCTGTCACAGAAGTGTAACACTACATACCTGAAGATGCTGAAGCTGCGTGTTTGGAATTCTGCTTTTATGAGAATACTACAACAGTTTACCAAGCATAGTCATCAATGTTTGTTTTCATTTGCTGCATTTGGATTTCTATGTAGCACAAGTGTCAAACCCAAGGCCCACAGCACACACCATATTCAGTGGCCCCTGAAATGATGTTCAATTAAAACTTGCAGCATTGAAGTGACCTATATGTGTGTAAAGCTTTATTATTATAGAATTTGATCCCAATACGTAATAAATTGTTAATAAAAAAATATGAATCCTTGGCCAATTCTGTAATTTAGACAGAGTTTTGGTTCAGTCCAAATATAAAGTAACTGAACTAGTTTAGTAGAGCAAACCATCAGAAAATAATTAGAGTAGTAAATATGATTATCTACAGATGCAAAGATGAATTTCAAACACTTTTATACTTTCCGCCACCAACCAAAATTAGTTTGACACCTCTTTCACATAGATTTGATCCAATATAAAATGGTGAAACAAGATGGCGGCTGGTTTCTAGACCGAGAGTGTTTACAAACAAACTGTAGTGGTAATAATAGAAAAGATTGGATTCACCAATTTCTTGTACAGCTAACGCATGATGTGTCTATCTTAGTTAGGAAAAGGTCTTATTACTATGGATTCACATCAATAGCACTGTTCAAACGTTTGTGAGTGATGGACCCCGATGGGTTGTAAACATCACATGAGTATGACAGGGGTACTACAGACGGCACCAGTGTTGCCCAATACCTGTGCTATTCTAGTGTGAGGAGATCTGAGAGACTTTCACAACACATGCTGGTGCAACAAAAACAGGGTCAAGCAGATTCAAGGTGGGGATAAACAGCCATAGATATTCAATTATGGTTTGGTAAGAAAAAACAAAATGTCCTTTGAGATTCACAGATAAGTCATAGGATTTCAATTGATGCACTTGAAAGTCTGGTGATAGTTTGACCCAATTGCAGGTCATCTCTCGCCAATAGAGATCAAAGAGCATCACCAAATTGTTGATGTTCTAACAGCACATTAGCAAATCAAACAATTAGAACTCATCTTAACAACGTATGATTCTAAAGTTGTTGAGAACGTGAACAGTTCTGACATTGTACAAGTCTCTCAGGAATGAAAGGTAAACCAGAATGCAACCCAAAAGATCCAATTAGTAACTTATCCGTTTTGTAAGCAGCCGGATTAAGCATTTTGACAGTTGTAAAACACACGGGAGGAGTGAATGCTGTGTATGTAATGGGTGTGGAGGTATTGGCCAACGAGTCGAACAGGGTTCACCATTCACAGATACTAGAGAGCGTGACGTTTCGAGGCCTGGATCCTCTCACATCTGCCCGGTCTGTGTGGATCAGGTGGCAGGCGTAAGGACAATGATCCTACCCCATGTCCAGTCACGGTGTCCATAGCAACCAGCACCACATTATCTGAATGGTATGTGGCCCAGGGAAGTCTGGGGTTACGAAATCCCATCAAAATTATCTGTATCATCTTTTCAGACAGCGATTGTGACTTGTCATCACATCCTAAAGTACAGTTGCTTATCAAGCCTGTCACGCATATGTTACTCAATGGGAACTCAGCTGGCTTCGTCGTGAAAGTGAAACGTCAGCAAAATGGCCCCAGTTTTTGGCTCTAGTGTTTAGCGGTGGCTTTAATTTCCGTAGTTAAGTGTCCAACCGTCCCGTGACCACAGAAGCGACCTGTCAGCTGACACAGAGCCCAGTGCGTTATGGACACGGACACTTGAAACAAGCAGCGGTCCGCGCCCTGTTTGCTAGGCTACATGTATGCTAGCTACATGTATGCTAGCTACATGTATGCTAGCCCCGGAGCGGCTAGCTAACTGCGAAGTGAAATACATGAAAGCGAGATTTGTTTAATTAATGACGCGTTTCTGTACATACACACGGTCACGACGTTAAATAAAGGGTAAAACTCACTATTCAGGGTTCATGGTGTCACGGGGATGTGTTTTTCCGCTGCCTCTTCCTTCCTACTCCGGGAAAAAGATGACTTGTACAGGTCCGGTTTCCGAGACACTTAATCCACTATTCCGTGTTGTTTGTCACCGTCTACTTCGTGTTTATCCGTATTAAGGGTGATTGTGTTCAAATATGGCGAACTCGAGCAGAGGAATCCCGACTGTTGAGCTTTATGCGCGAGTATTTGATCCTTTTTCAGCCGCTGTGTCCGCTGCCTTTAGAGGTTCAAGACGAGTGCGCATGTGCGGCAGTGACCTCATGTGACGTGGCACTGGCACTGAGGGATTCTGGAGCCTGCTGATGGGATTTGTAGTCCGCCTACAAAAGCTGTTATCTTGGGAATGTTCTACATACAAACCACGTCAAACAGACTTGATGAATATAAATGAATAATGAACAAACAAATTGGCAACTTTATATCAATGTTTTTATAATGAAATAATAATAATGCATCGGTTTTATATAGCGCTTTTCTGGACACTCAAAGACGCTTCACATGTGTCATTATTCATTCACTCCATACACGGTGGTGATAAACTACTACTGTAGCCACAGCTGCCCTGGGGCACACTGACAGAAGCGAGGCAACCAGTATGTGCCATCGGCCCCTCCGACCACCACCAACCATTCATACACACACCAGACTCATTCTAGGCAATGGGGGTGAAGTGTCTTGCCTAAGGACACAACAGCAGTTTGGCACTTTACTGCCGCAGTTGCCCCACTGTGGCTGGTGTTCCCAGAGGTTAAGTGTCTTGCCAAGGACACAACGACAGTAGTCAGTGGGAGTCAATGGTGAAAGTCCTGAGCGGGGCTTGAACCCACAACCTTCTGGCTCAAAGGCCAACGCTCTACCAACTGAGCTACTGCCTAATGTCAAATTAGTCTAACAAGTATTACAAATAGAGCGCAATATCTGCAAGTTCTGCAAAACAGAACAAAAAAATAAATGCAAAAAAATTACAAATAAAAAAACAAAATAATATAATATACAATATTCAGATATCTATACAAGGATAACATTTGAGATTTCAGACTCATGTTCCATTATCCTCCTCCAGTGGTGGTGGGGCAGCTCCCGCGCCCACAGGAGAAGGCAGGTAATCATTCTCCTTGGTGCTTTTTCTGGAGTCATTCTGTCGAGTCAGAGAGTCAGCAGCGGCTGCAGCCTCCAGACCCTGGTTTATGTATGTGGCCTCCTGACAGGCCTCCAGTGCAGGAAGTTTGGACAGAAGAGTTTTAAGTCTGTCACAGAGTTCTCTAAAGCATGGCCTCTGTGTGGGCTGCTTCTCCCAGCAGCTCTGCATCACCTCCCAACTGTCAAGGAAACAGAAAACAACGACATGAACACATTTTGCGATTGCACATTTACTAAACTGTATCTGACTGTATAACTCAGTGCACAGATCATAGCATTTAAAATATATTATTTCTCATCGCAAAAATCCTACCCAAACATTGTATGTGTGTGAGTTTGAGTGTTAATGGTTACTGTGTATTTTAATCATGACATTTCTGTATTTTTGTTTAAGCATTTGTTTGTTTTTTTGTACATTAATTATTGTCCATTGTAAATTCATTCTTGTGGCATTGATGAGTATATAGACCCCAGGAAGAATAGCTACATGTATATTACAGTAGCTAATGGGGGTCTAAATAAACGACAACCAGAAACAAACAAACTACTGCCAATTGTGTCAATAGTTTGTACAAAACTAATACATTCAGACTTAATGTTGATGACAGGGAATAAATGGCATTAAAAACAGCCCCTCACATTTTGGGGTCACAATCCTCTGGAGGTTTTAGTCGGTATCCTGTCCGCAGCAGGTCCAAAAGCTCATAGTTATGGACTCCTGGGTATGGTGTTCTTCCACGCGAAATGATCTCCCACATGGTGACCCCAAACGACCACTGAAAAGACACAACATTCAGTTCAAATCTAATGCCGAACACAACTTCTTTGGTCTCATCTAAAGTGAAGAGAAGTTGCATTGAACTTACAACATCACTTTTTGTTGTATACACAGACTCGGACAGACTCTCCATGGCCATCCACTTGATAGGCACTCGAATCACTTCTTTCTGCCTATAATAATTGTTGTCATAGATTTTTCGGGAAAGTCCAAAATCAGCCACGCACACCCTGAGGTCGTCGCCCAACCTGCGGCCACAGATTAATAAAGCACATTTACTCTTTGAGCGTTTGATACTTTGTGAGGCTTCCGTGGCGCAGACAAGCCGCCGTGGAATACCAATGACACGGGACAGCGACCCAGTCATGGTCAAACAAGGAGCCGTTGATGTGAGACCTAGACCACCCCTGTCCTTTTCACAGCATGACCAAACAGTTTGTTTAATCCCTGTTTTTAATGCAACATACAAACACAACTGTTTTTAATGCATTGTTTTTAATGGCCGTACATACACAACTGCCTTTAATGCACTGTTGTGACTGCACTTAAATGATGCACCAAACTTTTTTTTTCTTTCCCAACTGTCTATTTTAATCTGTTTTTAACCCATCAATTCCACGGACTACAGGATAAATAGTCCTTGTTTTTCAGAGTTAATTGGTCTTAAACTCTTAAATTTGGTTTGTGCATTGCTGTTCACCCTTTGTCCCTCTGTCTGTTTCATGACGCACTGGTGGGACTCGAAACCCGGACTCCCTGGACCTGAGGACTGGTCCACAGCCGTTGGGAGTTGGCGGTTCTGTGACGCGCCTCAAGATGACTGTTGTTGTGATTTCAGGCGATACAAATAACATTGATTTGATTTGAATTATTATAAATAAAACAGTTGGAAAAGGGTGGAACAAATCATCGGTACAACAAACAATTCATATGTTGTCTTTAGACTCTTTACCTTTCCACAATCCCTTAAGCACTTTAAATCCCTTGGGCTTTTAATACCAGGTAGAAAGAGACAAGTTGTTGTTTTTATGTGTTTATAATGATAATAATAATAATAATGATAATAATAATAATAATAATAATAATAATGCCTTTTATTACTTAGGCGCCTTTCTAGACACTCAAGGTAACACAAGTAAAACGTATATTTAGTTAGAATACAGGTTAAAATATAATTGCGTGTATATTTTTATGTATTTGATGTGTTGTTATTGTCTCTGTTTGGAGGGAATTGGATTAATATACGGTTTTTGCTTCATGAGTAGGGATTACTCAGACCATGTACAGGTATTTTTTAATTTTTTATTGCATCAACTGTGAATGTTGGTGTATCTTGTTTAAAATAAATAAATAATCAATAATATTTCTTTACTCTTGCAGGCTAATGCAAGTCTAATCCAGGATAATTCATGAGTGTATTTATTTGTTCATTTCTTAGACTTTGGGCCTGTTTTAAACTCACATGCAGTTGCGCGCTGCTAAGTCTCTGTGCAGAAAACCTCGAGAGCTTAAATAGTCCATTCCCTCCGCGATGTCCACCATGAAGCGCAGGAGAGTCTGGTACGGCACAAACTGCAACAACAAAATACACTTTATTATTACCAATAGGACAGTATACAGCAAACTCACGCAATCTGAAAAAGCAGAGAGAGACAAACATGCAGTAAAATCCAGCTGTTTTTGAGTAGAAAGTGTATTAATAGGACGGAAATGTTTACTGTAATGTATATTTATTATTATCTTTTCTTAATTTGTGTTGTATATACTGGCTGAAACCAGGTAGCCCCAAGTTGTCATGGTGTGGATTTTATGGCTGTACTTTTTGTTTTAATTTTGACTGTTCTGTGGTTTTGTTTTAAATTTTTATATAAAATAAATACTGTCATGGTGGGAATTCTGTGTTATTATTGTGCGTTTTATTTTTGTTTTTTAGACATTAGTGGCCTCATTTTTATTTTGACTTCCTGTCCTGTTCCCCTGTGTGATTGTCTCTAGCCGCGTATGTTTGTCTGTATTCCCGGTTCCTGGGTTTGGATTTTTGAGTTTAGTTTTACCTTGGACTTTTGTTCATTTATCATTAAATCATCTTTTTTATTTTTTTGCATTTTGGGTCCTTCCTTGTAATTTAAGTGTAATCGAATGAACAAGTATGATGTAACTGTTGTCAAGCCTTAAAAAACCCGCAGAAAAGCAATTATTTTAGCTTTTCAATTATGAGTTTCAGCTGTAATGAGGTGAATATATCGGCATGAGACTTATGATTTGTGAAAGTACCTTCATTTTAAAATTCTAAAGTAATTTCCTCTGAGTCCGTCGTCTTCAGTCATATGTTTCACACAGAAAAAAGTTTTTGGTGAAGACTTCTCCTACATGTTCAGTTAGCTGGTGGCCGTATGATAATGTTGGCTTTAGATCATTTTCCTTCTCAGAGGTGCTGTAGACATACATTTTTTATCAATTTAAAACTCCGGATTACACCAAACTGCAAATTTTCTGTTCAAATTTTCTTCAAGACGACAGAAAAACCATCTTTAATTTCTTCTTTAATGGCCTCATAAAACATGATAGTGTAAGATGTATTCTGTGTATGGGCTTGAATACATGACCTGTGTGTTTATATATATTTTTCTTCTTCTGTGATTCATACCATGGGGATGTCTCCGTAACGTGAGGCGATGAGGAAGCGTCGCAGGTCTCCGTTTTTCATAAGCGGTAAAATGAACAAAGGCACAGAGCTGTCCGCCTCCTGCTGCAGAGACACCCCTGAAGAGACCAGAGAGGCATGTACCAGCACACACAAGATACACATGCAAAAGATACAACTGTCATACACAGACACACACAAAACTAAAGAGACCAGAGAGGCATGTACCAGCACACACAAGATACACATGCAAAAGATACAACTGTCATACACAGACACACACAAAACTAAAGAGACCAGAGAGGCATGTACCAGCACACACAAGATACACATGCAAAAGATACAACTGTCATACACAGACACACACAAAACTAAAGAGACCAGAGAGGCATGTACCAGCACACATAAAATTATGCATATCGATTCGATTATCGATATGCATTTGCCAAGTATCAATATCGATTTTGAAAAAAAAAATATATATATATTTTTTTGTTACTTTTTATTTTATTTTATTGGTATCAATACGTAATATATGGCTACATTACGCATCTCCATTCTATCTATCATGAAATAAAAAGGTTTTTTTTATTTTATTTATGCCATAAATTGGCATATTGTATATTTCTGACCAATATATCAATAATCGTCATATTGTGATAAAATCGTTATCGTGATATTATCGTTATTGTTATATTATCGTTATCGTGATATTATTGTTATCGTGAGCTTTGTATCGTGTATCGTATCGTGAGGTACCCTTAGGTTCCCACCCCTACATAAGATACACACACGCAAACGATACAACTGTCATACACAGACACACACAAAGCTAAAGAGACAAGAGAGGCATATACCAGCACACACAAGGTACAACTGTAATACACCCACACATACACACACACACACACACAACACTAAAGAGACAAGAGAGGCATGTACCAGCACACACAAGGTACAACTGTAATACACACACACATACACACACACACACAACACTAAAGAGACAAGAGAGGCATGTACCAGCACACATGCAAACACACTTATAGACAGACAGGTATTAGTATTAGATAGCAATATGGCCTACGTGCAGGACTGTACAAGGACTCTACAAGGACTCCATGTTATGACTATGATGTGACTGTCTCTTTGTGACACGTATGTCTTTCGATGTGTGACGTGACAATGACTATATAAACTGTGTACTGCCTTTATTCTGTCTGAGAGAAAGAAACAGAGTAAACCAGTGGAACTTGAGAGAAACTTAAATAAACTTCCAGAGTTTGGCACACCACGATCCGTCTCTCTCTGCCTCATCCGGACATTTTAGAATGATCAATTTAATTTTTGTTGCTACTGGACACCTGAATTTCTCCAACGGGGATCAATAAAGTATCTATCTCTATCTATCTATCTATATACCTCAGGCCTCTGACATTCCAACTTCTGCACCCAGCCCTACATCTTCTTCCTTTACAAAACCATTGAATTCACCAACACAGATCAGAGAATCAAACATAAGGGGTTGATCCATAAGTGTTGAATGTTGAGTGTCCTAGATCATCACCACTGTTCTTTTAGTTAGACCCTCACAAGGCTCTCTAAACCCAGTGGGAAAAGTGAAACCTCTGTGAGGTCCACAGAGAGAGGGATCCGCCCCCACGGTCAGGAGCGCATCCTTGATCCTGAGACAGGACTGTGGCAGCTCCCAGACGAGTCGGGCAGGGCAGTCCACAGGTGCAGATGGAGAAGACCGGGTTTTTAGAGTCCATCATCACACCATAAAACAGACAATGGGACAGTGGGTGTATAGCAATGAACAGACTAGAGTCGAAGTCATAATGTAGACAGATGAAGTAGGAAGGAGGAGAGGATAGTGCTGTTACTATAAAGGAGCTTGATAAATGCTCTGCTGCTAGCTACTTTATTATTATTATTTATTATACTTTATCTGATCCTTATTGCTGGTTGTGTGGAAAATCTTTGGAGGCCCTTTAGGAAGCTCTGCATGATGAACAAACGTATAGATTGTATAGATTGTATATGACACATCGATTGTAAAACAGGCAGAAGGACAGATTCAAGGACATTTATAGTCGTGAGAGTCGTGAGATTTTCTGGTTGTGTTTTCTGAGTTGGAATTCTCTGCTCTCCTGTAGATGTTGACATCCTGATGGTTCCAGACGAGTGCACTGTAATAAATGCATGTGGCCTCTGCAGGTTAAGTCTACCCTGCAGCCTTCTGCGTTCTCCTACAGAAAAAAATTGAAACGCAGAAATCTCGTCAGAATCCCAATATTGCAGTTTATCTGATCTGATCTCGTTGATGAGATTCAGAATTAGAAAAATCTACGCTCCATGACGCACGGGCTGAACATATATCATTTCTGACCGCGGGGTTCTCATTAGCGCCGACACCACTCCCTCACCGCACTGGAGCATAGCTGTAATTGCCTGTATGTTCTGGTCTGTTTGAGCTGAATACAGGGCTCATGCAGGAGAGACGCGTGTCGAAGATTTGTTAAACCGAGCGTGCTTCGAACCAACTCACCGACGCACAAGTTTGTAGGTGGTCTGGGCTCCACATGTGTTTCTGGGAACGTTAACACTTTCATATCACATTACCCAGACTTAATTAGAACAGCCGTGGATTATTACAGCCTTAAACACAAAATGGGAGGAGAAATCAGGAGCCGTTACAGATTCAGATTCATTTATATGGCATTTGCAGTAAAACCACATTGGAATACATCCGCAAAATGAGATCAAATGATTTTTACCGTTGTAAGATAAGAGATAAGGTTAAACTGTTTATATGTATGTGTTTATTTCATGCTGTTTCCTTTTATGATTTAATTAATTTTCCATCCATCCATCCATTTTCTTCCCCTTAAACCATTTCTGGGTCGGGGGGTTGGCAGTCAGAGCTGCACCCAGTTCACAGAGCACCAGCCCCTCACTGACCCTCCTGCAGGTGGTGAGTCCACAGGAACCTTGATTATTTAGTGGGGGCTTCAGGCAAAGTGGGTTAAGTGTCTTGCCCAAGGACACAACGACAGCAGTCATCAGTGGGAGTCGTGAAGTAGGTCTCGTGGTGGGCTCGAACCCACAACCTTCAGGCTCTGAGGTCTACCAACTGAGCCACTGTCGCCCCGATTAATTAATTTTATTTAATTTTTTATCTTTTGTCTTTGGCATCTGGTGTTGTTGTGAATGTGCTATACAAATAACGCTGACGTTGAGATTTTCAGAATGTATAACCGTTTTTAGAATTTAAATCCGTATTGAGTTGTCGATAAAAGGTTTTGCGCACAAAGGAATCGATCACGACGTGGAATTGTGCAAAAAGATTAAGAGATTTTATATTCGTCCCACAGTCGGGAAATGTCAGTGTTGTATCACGTAAAATCTCTAGCTTTAGCATAATAAAGAAACAAGTTTAAAACCTAAAACTTTAGCATAATGACGAATTAAGTATAATATTTCTAACTTTAGCGTTATAGATTAACTGAATGAGTGTATTTCAGTAGCATAGGAACACAGCCTATGGATCCAAGAAAACAATAGTTCCACCGCAGCTCTTCAGTGTTGCGTTGCAGTGTTGTATGACTCGACACACATTCAATAGACCATACAAACCTCAAGGCCTGCGTTTGTAAAGACTCTTCTTTAACATATGCATCTTCTATTCCCGTACGATCCAGCTGTTGTTTACTCGACTATTGTCAAGTTACAGACGCAGAACAACGCTGCTGCACAACATGTATTGTCAGCGATGTAGACACACTGTGCAGACATTTTTTGCCATGCCCAGGGTCATAGAAAACTGTGACTTATCCCTAATGGTCTGGGACTGCCTTTGGGTCGTTTAGTTTTTGGGGATGCATGGGCCATGATTTTGTTGTCTTTCTATTGTGCCTAGTTCCCTGCTTGCCCCTGCTGTTCCTAAATGAGAGCCCTTGAATTGGAATCAATAAGACGCATCAGGGTGGAGACTTTTGTGGTTATTCTGAACATGGAACTGTATACCAAGGAGAGAACCATGAACATGTGAAACAGTACGTTAGACCCTCGAAAGAAAGATATCTTTAACACATTGATTGGAGAAGGTTAACTGGTTCAGCCTAATTTCCTGTCTTTTTGCACACCCAGAGTGATCCTGTTTCTGCTAAATGTGACATGTACATTTCTCCATTGTGAGATCAATACAGTTTTATCTTAAATTAATCCCTGCATGTGGGCTACCCTCAAGTTTCTCACATTTTCCCACTGGATTTTGGAGTTGTTTCTTGCCGATGAAGAAGGGTCTAAGAACAGTGGTGACATTAAAGCACATTTATGGACCTATGAGATTTCATAACACTTTGAAGCAACTTTTGTTAAGGTTAAACTCATCATTCTATCAATGTGCAGAAGCCAGTACTTTTCCCTTGTTTTGTCTATCTGAAGGCCAAGCTACATGGCACCGTGGCAGCTGCTGATTGGAGGACTCAATGCCTCCGCTCTGTATAATACACTTGCATTCTCTTGTATCTGTGATCGTGTGCTTTGATTGTGCTGTCTCTACCATCGACAATAAAACATGTCTTCTGTCTGAATTTAAGACGCGATCCCAGACTATGTCATCTTCTTCAGACCAATGGAACTATGTACATTATTTTCACTTGCACTGTTGCTAAAATTACATGACATAAGAATAGCCAACGGGTCTGAGCCTCTGTGGCATTCACACAATCACACCATCAAACACAAGCATCTAATGAAATCGCCGCCCTGGAGAGAGCGATCGGCAAACGACTTCACACTTGGACACATTCTGCAGCTCCCATCAGGCCAAAGTGTGAGGCATGCTGGGTAGACAGGGCCTGGCCGGAGAGAGAGCCTGTGTATAAAGGGGTTAAACAAACAGTCCTCTTAACCTGGAGAGAGGCCGGTGGTTTGGCCGAGGATGGCGCAGACAGGAGGGCCGGCTGGAGTGTTTCATTACCCTGCTCTCCATGAGACCAGATCCAGGCTTTTGATGTGGGTGTTTGTATGCACGCCTGCTCCATCCACCACGAGTC